CTCTGAGTGGGGTGTGATGCCACTAAAAGTTTTTATCGATGTATAGCATAAAATAGACAAGTAACAAACTACCTTTTACTACCTTGATATCAATTGAAATTCATGAGATATCATTATAAGTTTCACCAATATATAACACCAAAATTTTCATCTGATATTTTCAATTTATCATTCCTTTGCTTGCATAGATCTAGGCCTATTTGTTTGGTCAATCATCAAAGGCAGGGGGAACCACTATAGACGAGACCCCCCGACCTCGATTATTTTGCATAGTCCGGGGGCCGGCCGCAGCTGGGCATAGTGGCGCTCTCGCCTGGCGGCATTCTCGGACCTAGCAGCCGACGGGCGGGCCGTGCCTGAATTCAGACCGGACCAGACTCTTCTTTGTTTGAGCTGCTTCCACACACGCAAACCAGTAGATCTCACTTGTCCTGGACTGGACAAGTAAAGTAGAAAGTGAAGGACAACGAGTAGGAGCAAGAGGAGAAATAGATGGACAAGGAGTAGAAGAAGAAGGAAGAAAAAAGAGGAGAAGGAGCGGAGAAGGAGAGGAGGAAGGATAAGAAGCGGATAAGGGGGAAAAACAAGGAGGAGAAGGAGAAAGAAGAAAAAAGAGGAGCGGAAAGAGAAGGCGGAGAGAAGTCAAGAAGAAGAAGAAAAAGCAGAAATAGAAGAAAGNGGACAAGTAAAGAAGAAAGCAAAGGACAACGAGTAGGAGCAAGAGGAGAAATAGATGGACAAGTAGAAGAAGAAGGAAGAAAAAAGAGGAGAAGGAGCGGAGAAGGAGAGGAGGAAGGATAAGAAGCGGATAAGGGGGAAAAACAAGGAGGAGAAGGAGAAAGAAGAAAAAAGAGGAGCGGAAAGAGAAGGAGGAGAGAAGTCAAGAAGAAGAAGAAAAAACAGAAGTAGAAGAAAGGAGAATGAGTAGGAGAAGATGGGGAAAAGGAGCAGGAAAAGTGACTGGAAGGAGAGAGGAAAAAGAGAAGGCTGAGGAGAATGAAGGAGGAGGAGGAGGAGCAAGAGGGGTGGGAGAAGGAGAAAGAGGAGGACGATAGCAGGTGAAGTGGGAAAAGGAGAGAAGATAAGTCACTCAAAAGTTCAAAATTTATGGCGACTCTAAGGAACATCAGTGACTTGTGCGAGGAACGAAAACTAAAATAGAATCACATAGAAAAAGAGCAATGATTCCATAAAACCATAAATTTACAGTGTGAATAGAGGCATATATATACACACATACCTATATAGAGAGAGATTTAGAGAGAAGGAGAAAGGTAAAATGGTGCAGTGGGAGTTCACATTAAGATGAATTAATAGGCTTGCTCTGACAATTCAACGGAAACTCATAAGCCCTAAGTTCCCCTAGACTCATCAATTTGCTTGAAGGTGATGGCTTTTGACTGGAAGATAATGTAATATCCCCCACTAGCTACTGAGCTTTATGAAAGGTCACACCCTTGAAGCTAAGATTTCCCAAGAGAAGAAAAAAATGTAACACCCCAGTTTCTCGGATACGTTAATTGATTAAATCAACCACAATATATATCACCAAATATAGAGTCAGAGCTCTAATTACCGCAATAAAAATTATAATTGAGAAATAACATGCATGGACAAAGAATGAATATCTGTCCATAATGATGCAAGCTTCCTAGCCTCACCATGTGAGGTTGGGTGGAAGTTTGGCTATAAATAGCCATGGTGCTGTCAAGCAAAACGCAGACAAGAAAGGAGAAAAAAATGATGGAGGAACGAAGAGAAAGAGAGGAAGAAGAAAAATNCCGGTCGTCAGTAGGTTATGTATGCCTTTAAAATGCCATGATCTCTATTTGCAGATTTTGTAAGTGTTTTGTATTCTCAAGTAAGCAGGTCTCTAACCCCACATAGTGCGAACACGACAATGCAAGCACAAATGACATCCTAATTCCCNGGAGGAAGGAAGAGAAAGAGAGGAAGAAGAAAAAAATATATAGAAAGAAATTTTTTTGAGATTTTAGAGTCAAAAATTGGGTGGTGATTTTATTTCATATCGCTACCAAATTTAAGTATATTGTTTGTGATACTTCGAATTTCACATCCATTGAAGACATTGATGATTTTGATGTACGTGGTAATATACAATATGCTCATGTATTTAAATTTCTTTGTAAGAATGTCCTTTTGATGTCTTAAATTTGTAGTATTTCCTATTGATATTAAATTCTGTAAGAGAAAAATTGGCAGAAAAAAAGGGAGAAAAAGTGACAGAAAGGAGAGGAGAAAGGGAAGGATGAGGAGGAACAAGAGGAGAAGGAAGTAGAGGGCAAAGGAGAAAGAGGAGGATAAGCAAGAGGCAAAAAGGTGAAGAAGGAGAAGTCACTCGAAAGATCAAACTTTATGGCGACTCTAAAGAACATTGGTGACTTGAGAGGAATGGAAACTAAAATAGAATCACATAAAAAAACAATGACTCCATAAAACCATAAATTTACGGTGTGTATAGATATATATATACTTATAGAGAGAGATTTAGAGAGGGAGAAAGGCAAAATTGTGCAATGGGAGATCACATTCGGAACTAAGTATTTCTTGGGTTTGTGATGAACGAAGACTCATAAACCCTAAATACCCTTATGCTTGCTTTGACAATTCAACAGAGACTCATAAGCCCTAAATACCCTTAAGACCCGTCAATTTGCTCGGAGTTGATGTCTCTACTGGAAGATAATGTAATATCCTTTTTTAGTTGTTGAGCTTTATGAAAGGCTACAAATTTGAACTCCCTTTGAAGCTAAGATTCCCTAGGAGGAGGAGAAGAATAAGGAGTACAATGAGAAGGAGAAAAAGGAGGAGGATAAGAGTGAAAAAGAAGAAGAATGAGGGAGGAGGAGCAGGAGAACGAAAAGGAAAGGAGAAACTAGAGAAGAAGAAGAAATAGGAAAATCAGCAGGAAAAAGGAGGGAGGAGGAAAAATGATACGAAGGAGAGAGGAGGAGAAGAATGATGAAGAAAGAGGAAAAGGAGAAGGAGAAAGAGGAGGAGGGAGGAGGAGTATGAGGCTGGTGAAGGAGAGAAGAGAAGTCGCTCAAAAGATCAAAATTTCTGGCGTCTCTAAGGAACATCGATGACTTGCAAAAAACGGAAATAAAATAAAATCACATAGAAAAAGAGCAATGATTCCATAGTCCATAAATTTACAAGGTGTATACAAACATATACACACATAGATACCCATAGAGAGAAGGAGAAAGGGAAACTGGTGCAATGATAGATTAAATTAGAAACTATGTATTTCTTGGGTTTGAGACGAACTTACAGGCTTGCTTTGACAATTCAACGGAGACTCGTAAGTCCAAAGCAGTGGCGGATCCATAATGGGGGCAGTTGCCCCCATTGGAATTTTAAAATTTTTAGGGCATAAGTATAATTTTAAAAGTTTTAAAATTTATTAGAAATTTGCCCCCACTAAATTTTTTTTAAAAGATTTATATGCAGTTATGATATTTTGACAAATATACGGGTCACTTATAAATGTCAAAAAAATTCCTTTAAAAGGCTAAATGCCTCCATTATGGGTTAGATTAAATTATATTGCTTTGGTGTTTTCAATAGTTTTATTGTGATTGGTTAAATAATTCTTATACCAAAGTTTAGTCTAATAGAACAATTATAGTTTATGTTTGTTTCGATTGATTGTTAAAATTCAACTATATATGATTGAACCAAATTTTTTTGTTTAAATTTTTTTGGTAGGTGATTATGTCTTATAGATAAATTTATAGTGAATTTTTTTTGTTGACACTTTTTGTTTAGTTCTCATATATATGAGTTGTTACTTTAATTGACGTTCTATTAATGAAATTATACTTTTGTGAACATTAGTAATTTTAATATTCATACAGTTTAGGTTGCTCCAACTAAGCAAAATTTTTGGCTCCGCCCCAGGTCCAAAGTGCTCCAAGACAGGAATATAACATAATATCTCCTAGTTGCTGAACTTTATGAAAGTCCACAAATTTGAACTCCCCTTGAAGCTAAGATTCCCTAGGAGGAGAAGAAGAATAAAGGCAATGAGAAGAAGGAGAAACAAGAGGAGGAGAAGAGTGAGGAGAAGAAGAAAGAGAAGGAAAAGGAAAAAAAAGGAGAATGAGAAAACACAAAAGGATGGAGAAGGAGAAGGAGAAGCAAAAGGAAAAATTGGGCAAGAAGGTGGAAGAGATGCAGAAGATGAATTAGAAGGAGAAATAGAAGAATAAGGGAGAAAATGGAAAAAGAGGAGAAAAAGGAGAAAGAGGAAAAGCGATAAGAAAGAGAGACGAGAAAGAGAAAGATGAGGAGAAGATTGAAGAAGGAGGAACAGTGGCAAGAGGAAAAGAAGAGGGAAAAAGAGAAGTAAGAGGAAAAGTAGGTGAAGGAGAAGGAGAGAAGAGAAGTCACTCGAAAGATCAAGACTAGTCAATTTGCTCAGAGGTGATGCCTCTTGATTGGAAGGTAATGTAAATAGCCCCCTTTTAGTTGCTGAGCTTTATAAAAGGCCATAAATTTGAACTCCCCTTAAAGCTAACATTCCTTAGGAGGCGAAGAAAATAAGGAAGAAAGGGAGGATAAGCGAAGAAAGAAGGGGAGGGGAGGAGAAAAAGTAGAGAAATGAGGAGACGGAAGAGGAAAAATAAGGGAAGAAAGATGAAAAGATGTAGAAGATGAAGGAGAAGGAGAAATAAAAAAGGAAGAAGAAGATGAATGAGGGAGGAGGGAGGAGTAGGAGTACGAGAACGCAGAGAGAAAGAGAAAAAGGAAAATCAGCTGGAAAAAGACGGTGGAAAAGCGACAAGGAGAGAGGAGAAAAATGAAGAAGAACAAGAACAAGAAGAATAAGGAGGAGTAGCAAAAGAAGAAGGAGAAGAAAAAGGAGAGGAAGAAGGTGAAAGAGGAGGATAAGGATGAGAAGCAAGAGGAAAAGCAGGAGAAGAAGGAGGAAGAGATGCAAAAGAAGAACTAGAAGACGAGGAAGAAAAAGAAGAATGAGGGAGGAGAAGGAAAAAAAAGGAGAAAAAGGAGAAAGAGGAGAAAGAGGAAAATCGACTGGCAAAAGGAGGGAGGCGGGAAAGCGACGGGTAGGAGAGACGAGAAAGAGGAAAAGGAGGAGAAGATTGAAGAAGAAGCAGGAGGAAGAGTGGCAAGAGGAGAAAGAGAAGGAGAAAGAGGAGAAGCAAGAGGAAAAGTAGGTGAAGAAGGAGGAGAGAAGAGAAGTCACTCGAAAGATCAAGACCCATCAATTTGCTCGGAGGTGATGCCTCTTGATTGGAAGGTAATGTAAATAGCCCCCTTTTAGTTGTTGAGCTTTATAAAAGGCCATAAATTTTAACTCCCCTTAAAGCTAACATTCCCTAGGAGGCGAAGAAAATAAGGAGAAAAGGGAGGATAAGAGCGAAGAAAGAAGGGGAGGAGGAGGAGAAAAAGAAGAGAAATGAGGAGAAGGAAGAGAAATGAGGAGAAGGAAGAGGAAAAGTAAGGGAAGAAAGATGAAAAGATGTAGAAGATGAAGGAGAAGGAGAAATAAAAAAGGAAGAAGAAGATGAATGAGGGAGGAGGGAGGAGTAGGAGTACGAGAACGCAGAGAGAAAGAGAAAAAGGAAAATCAGCTGGAAAAAGACGGTGGAAAAGCGACAAGGAGAGAGGAGAAAAATGAAGAAGAACAAGAACAAGAAGAATAAGGAGGAGTAGCAAAAGAAGAAGGAGAAGAAAAAGGAGAGGAAGAAGGTGAAAGAGGAGGATAAGGATGAGAAGCAAGAGGAAAAGCAGGAGAAGAAGGAGGAAGAGATGCAAAAGAAGAACTAGAAGACGAGGAAGAAGAAGAAAGAGGGAGGAGAAGGAAAAAAAAGGAGAAAAAGAAGGAGAAAGAGGAAAATTGACAAGCAAAAGGAGGGAGGCGGGAAAGTGACGGGAAGGAGAGACGAGGAAGAGGAAAAGGAGGAGAAGATTGAAGAAGCAGGAGGAAGAGTGGCAAGAGGAGAAAGAGAAGGAGAAAGAGGAGAAGCAAGAGGAAAAGTAGGTGAAGAAGGAGGAGAGAAGAGAAGTCACTCGAAAGATCAAGACCCATCAATTTGCGCGAAGGTGATGCCTCTTGACTAGAAGGTAATGTAATATCCCCTTTTAGTTGCTGAGTTTTATGAAAGGCCATGAATTTGAATTTCCCTTAAAGCTAACATTCCCTAGGAAACGAAGAAAATAAGGAAAAAAAGGAGGATAAGAGTGAAGAAAGATGGGGAGGACGAAAAGGAGAAGGAGAAGGAGAAGGAGAAGGAAGAGAAAAAGTAAGGGAAGAAAGAGAAAGAGATGTAGAAGATGAATGAAAAAGAGAAAATAGAAGAGGAGGAAGAAGAAGAAAAAAAAGAATGAGGGGGGAGTAGGAGCAAGAAAGCATAGAGAACGCGGAGAGAAGGAGAAAAAGGAAAATCGGCTGGAAAAATAAGGGAGGAAAAACAACTGGAAGGAGAAATGAGAAAACAAGGTTAGGATGAGGATGAAGAGGAGGAGGAGGAGGAAAAGGAGAATAATGAGAAAGCATAAGGAGAAATAGGTAGAGGAGAAGAATAAGAAGAAAGAAAAGGAAGGAGAGGGAGAAGGAGAAAGAGGAGGATGAAAAATAAGAGGGAAAAGCATGGGAAGGAGGAAGAGATGCAAAAGAAAAACTAGAAGAGGAGGAAGAAGAATGAGGGAGGAGAAGGAAAAGGATGATAAGAAGGAGAAAGAGAAAAATGGACAGGAAAAAAGAGTGAGGCGGGAAAGCGACAGGAAGGAGAGATGAGAAAGAGAAGGATGAGGAGGAGGAGGAGATGGAGGAAGAGTGGCAAGAAGAGGAGAGGGAGAAAGAGGAGAAGCAAGAGGAAAAGTAGATGAAGAAGGAGATGGACAAGGAGAAGGAGAGAAGAGAAGTCACTCAAACGATCAAGACTCGTCAATTTGCTAGGAAGTGATGCCTCTTGATCGGAAGGTAACATAATAGCCCCTTCTAGTTGCTGAGCTTTATGAAAGGTCATAAATTTGAACTCCCCTTAAAGCTAACATTCCCTAGGAGGCGAAGAAAATAAGGAGAAAAAGGAGGAGGATAAGACCAAAGAAAGAGGGGAGGAGGAGGAGAAAGAAGAGGAAGAGATGTAGAAGATGAAGGAGAAGGAGAAATAGAAAAGGAGGAAGAAGAAGAAGAATGAGCGAAAAGTAGGAGAGCACAGAGAGAAGGATAAAAAGGCAAATCGGCTCAAAAAAGAAGGGAGGAGAAAAAGTGACAAAAAGGAAAGAGGAAAAAGTGAAGGACGAGGAGGAGGAGGAGGAGAAGGAGAAGAATGAGGAAGAACAAGAACAAGAAGAATAAGGAGGAGTAGCAAGAGGAGAAAGAGAAGAAACGCATAAGGAATGAGAGGGAAAAGGAGAAAGAGGAGGAGGATGAGAAGCAAGAGGAAATGGAAGGGAACAAGGAGTAAGAGATGCAGAAGAAGAACTAGAAGAGGAGGAAGAAGAAGAATGAGGGAAGAGAAGGAAAAGGAAAAGGATGAGAAGCAGAAGGAGAAACAGGAAAATCGATGGAAAAAAGGAAGGAAGATGAGTAGATTGAGGAAGGAGGAGTGGCAAGAGGAGGTGAGGGAGACGGAAGAAAAGCAAGAGGAAAAGCCAGAGAAAAAGGAGAGAACAGAAATCACTTGAAAGATCAAGACTCGTCAATTTGCTCGGAGGTGATGCCTCCTGATTGGAAGATAACGTAATAGCCCCTTCTAGTTGCTGAGCTTTATGAAAGGCCAGAAATTTGAACTCTCCTTACAACTAGCATTCCCTAGGAGTAGGATGAGAAGAAGGATAAGGAGAAAATGGAGGGGGATTAGAGTGAAGGAGGATGAGCAAAAGAAAGAGAAGGAGAAGCAAGAGGAAAAACAAGTGAAGAAAGAGGATCAAGGGGAAAAAAAGAAGAATGAGGGTGGAGAAGGAGCAGGAGAACAGGGAGAGAATGAGAAAGAGAGAAATTGGCTGAACAAAAAGACATGAAGGAGAGAAAAAAAAGAAGGATGAGGAGGAGACTAAAGAAGAACAAGAAGAAGAAGGAGAAGGAGAAAAAGGATGAGAAGTGAGAGGAAAAGCAGGGGGAGGAGAGAGAGGTGCAGAACATGAAGGAGGAAGGAGAAATAGAAGAGGAGGAAGAATAAGAATGAGGGAGGTAAAGGAAAAAAAGAAGAAAAAGGAGAAAGATAAAAAGCGACGGGAAAAAGAGATGAGAAAGATGAGTAGAAGATTGAAGGTGGAACAGTGGCAAGAGGAAAAGAAGAGGGAGAAAGAGGACAAGTAAGAGGAGAAGTAAGAGGAAAAGTAGGTGAAAAAGGAGAAGGAGAAGGAGAGAAGAGAAGTCACTCGAAAGATCAAGACCAGTCAATTTGCCCAGAGGTGATGCCTCTTGATTGGGAGGTAACATAAATAGCCCCTTTTAGTTGTTGAGCTTTATGAAAGGCCATATATTTGAACTCCCCTTAAAGCTAATTTTTCCTAGGAGGAGAAGAAAATAAGGATAAAAAGTAGGAGGATAAGACTGAAGAAAGAGGGGGAGGAGGAGGAGAAAGAAGAGGAAAAGTAAGGGAAGAAAGAGGAAGAGATGTAGAAGAAGAAGGAGAAGGAGAAATACAAAAGGAGGAAGAAGAAGAAAAAGTAGAATGAGGGAAAAACAGAAGAGCACGGAGAAAAGGATAAAAATGCAAATCGACAGGAAAAAGAAGGGAGGAGAAAAAGCGACAGGAAGGAGAGAGGAGAAAGAGAAGGACGAGAAGGAGAATGAGGAAGAATAAGAACAAGAAGAATAAGGAGGAGTGGCAAGAGGAGAAGGAGAAGAAACAACGAATGAGAGGGAGATGGAGAAAGAGGAGGATAAGAAGCAAGAGGAAATGCAGGGGAAAAAGGAGGGAGAGATGCAGAAGAACTAGAAGAGGAGGAATAAGAAGAATAAGGGAGGAGAAGGAAAAGGATGAGAAGAAGAAGAAGGAGAAATAGGAAAATCAACAGGAAAAAGGAGGGAAGAGTAGATTGAGGAAGGAGGAGTGACAAGAGGAGGAGAGGGAGAAGGAAGAAAAACAGGAGAAAAATGAGAGAAGAGAAGTCACTCGAAAGATCAAGACTCATCAATTTGCTCGGAGGTGATGCCTCCTGATTGGAAGCTAACGTAATAGCCCCTTCTAGTTGCTGAGCTTCATGAAAGGCCAAAAATTTGAACTCCCCTTACAGCTAGCATTCCCTAGGAATAGGACGAGGAGAAGGATAAAGAGAAAATGGAGGAGGATAAGAGTGAAAGAGGATGAGAAGAAGAAAGAGATGGAGAAGCAAGATGAAAGACAAATGAAGGAGGAAGAGATGTAGAAGATGAAGGAAAAGGAGAAATAAAAGAGGACGAAGAAGGGAAAAAAAAAAGAAGAATGAGGGTGGAGAAGGAGCAGCAGAATGGGGAGAGAAGGAGAAAGAGAGAAATCAGCTAGAAAAAAGGAGGAAAAACGACAGGAAGAAGAGGAAAAAAAGAAGGATGAGGAGACTGAAAAAGAACAAGAACAAGAAGTAGGAGTAGCAAGAGGAGGATGAGAAGTAAGAGAGAAAAAGAAGGGGGAGGATGAAGAGATGTAGAAGACGGAGGAAGGAGAAATAGTGGAGGAGGAAGAAAAAGAAGAAGAATGAGGGAGGAAAAGGAAAAAGAAGAGAAAAAAAAGGAGAAAGAGGAAAAGCGACAAGAAAGAGAAGGATGAGGACGAGAAGATTGAAGGAGGAACAGTGGCAAGAAGAAAAGAAGAGGGAGAAAGAGAAGTAAGAGGAAAAGTGGGTGAAGAACGAGGAGAGAACTCGAAAGATCAAGACCCGTCATTATACTCGGAGGTGATGCCTCTTGATTGGGAGGTAACATAAATAGCCCTTTTTTAGTTACTGAGCTTTATGAAATGCCATAAATTTGAACTCCCCTTAAAGCTAACATTCCCTAGGAGGCGAAGAAAATAAGGATAAAAAGGAGGAGGATAAGACTGAAGAAAAAGGGGGAGAAGGAGGAGAAAAAGAAGAGAAATGAGGAGGTGGAGGAGAAAGAAGAGGAAAACTAAGGGAAGAAGGAGGAAGAGATGTAGAAGATGAAGGAGAAGGAGAAATAGAAAAGGAGGAAGAAGAAGAAGAATGAGGGAAAGCAAGAAAGCACGGAGAGAAGGATAAAAGGCAAATCGGCTGGAAAAAGAAGGGAGGAGAAAAAGCGACAAGGAGAGAGGAGAAGGGGAAGGACGAGGAGGAGAAGGAGAAGAGTGAGGAAGAACAAGAACAAGAAGAATAAGGAGTAGCAAGAGGAGAAGGAGAAGAAACATAAGGAATGAGAAGGAGATGGAGAAAGAGGAGGATGAAAAGCAAGAGGAAATGCATGGGAAAAAGGAGGAAGAGATGCAGAAGAAGAACTAGAAGATGAGGAAGAAGAAGGATGAGGGAGGAGAAGGAAAAGGAAAAGAACAAGAAGGAGAAACAGGAAAATCGACTGGAAAAAGAAGGGAAGAGGAGTAGATTGAGGAAGGAGGAGTGGCAAGAGGAGAAGAAGAGGGAAAAGGCAGAAAAGCAAGAGGAAAAGTAGGAGAAAAAAGAGAGAAGAGAAGTCACTCGAAAGATCAAGACTCGTCAATTTGCTTGGAGGTGATGCCTTCTGATTGGAAGATAACGTAATAGCCCCTTCTAGTTGCCGAGCTTTATGAAAGGCCACAAATTTGAACTCCCCTTACACCTAGCATTCCCTACGAGGAGGAGAAGGATAAGGAGAAAATGGAGGAGCATAAGAGTGAAGGAGGATGAGCAGATGAAAGAGAAAGAGAAGGAGAAGCGNCCCCTTACACCTAGCATTCCCTACGAGGAGGAGAAGGATAAGGAGAAAATGGAGGAGCATAAGAGTGAAGGAGGATGAGCAGATGAAAGAGAAAGAGAAGGAGAAGCGAGAGGAAAAACAAGTGAAGGAGGAAAAGATGTAGAAGATGAAGGAAAAGGAGAAATAGAAGAGGAAGAAGGGAAAAAAAAGACGAATGAGGGCTGAGAAGGAGCTGGAGAACAGGGAGAGAAGAAGAAAGAGAAATTGGCTGAAAAAAAGGAGGAAAAATGATAGGAAAAGAGGAAAAAAATAGGAGGGAGGAGGAGGAGGAGGAGACTGAAGAAGAACAAGAAGTAGAAGGAGTAACAAGTAGAGAAGGAGAAGGAGGATGAGAAGTGAGAGAGGAAAAGTAGGCGGAGAAGGATGAAGAGATGCAGAAGATGGAGGAAGGAGAAATAGAAGAGGAGGAAGAAGAAGAAGAAGAAGAAGAATGAGGGAGGAAAAGGAAAAAGAGGAGAAAATNGCTAGGCTGTCGGTGGGTTGGGTTCTGGGTGGTTTGATTCTTGGTTTAGTTTAGGTGATTTGTGGCTGTCGGTGATCTGGTGGCAGGCTGATTTAGTGTTGTTTANAAAGGAAAAAGAGGAGAAAATGGAGAAAGAGGAAAAGCGACTAGAAAGAGAGACGAGAAAGAAAAGGATGAGGAGAAGATTGAAGAAGGAGGAACAGTGGCAAGAGGAAAAAAAGAGGGAGAAAGAGGAAAAGTAGGTGAAGAATGAGGAGAGAAGAGAAGTCACTCGAAAGATCAAGACCCGTCAATTTACTCGGAGGTTATGCCTCTTGATTGGGAGGTAACGTAAATAGCCCCTTTTAGTTGCTGAGCTTTATGAAAGGCCATATATTTGAACTCCCCTTAAAGCTAACATTCCCTAGGAAGAGAAGAAAATAAGGAGAAAAAGGAGGAGGATAAGACTAAAGAAAGAGGGGGAGGGGGAGGAGAAAAAGAAAAGAAATGAGGAGGAGGAGGAGAAAGAAGAAGAAAAGCAAGGGAAGAAGGAGGAAGAGATGTAGAAGCTGAAGGAGAAGGAGAAATAGAAAATGAGGAAGTAGAAGAAGAAAAAGAAGAATGAGGGAAAACAGGAGAGCAGGGAGAGAAGGATAAAAAGGGAAATTGGCTAGAAAAAGAAGGGAGGAGAGAGGAGAAAGAGAAGGATGAGGAGGAGAAAGAGAAGAATGAGGAAGAACAAGAACAAGAAGAATAAGGAGGAGTAGCAAGAGGAGAAGGAGAAGAAACATAAGGAATGAGAGGGAGAGGGAAATGGAGAAAGAGGAGGATGAGAAGCAAGAGGAAATGCAGGGGAAAAAGGAGGAAGAGAGACAGAAGAAGAACTAGAAGAGGAGGAAGAAGACGAATGAGGGAGGAGAAGAAGGAGCAAGAGGACAATCGATTGGAAAAAGAAGGGAAGAGGAATAGATTGAGGAAGGAGGATTGGCAAGAGGAGAAGGAGAGGGAGAAGGAAGAAAAGCAAGAGGAAAAGTTAGAGAGAAGAGAAGTCACTCGAAAGATCAAGACTCGTCAATTTGCTCAGAGGTGATGCCTCCTGATTGGAAGATAACGTAATAGCCCCTTCTAGTTGCTGAGCTTTATGAAAGGCCACAAATTTGAACTCCCCTTACAGCTAGCATTCCCTAGGAGTAGGAGGAGAAGGATAAGGA